CTACGACCACTACCACTACTCCTGCTGCTGCTGCTGCTGCGCTGCTGCTGCTGCTGCTGCTGCTGCTGCTGCTCCTCCTCCTCCTACTACTCCTCCTCCTCCTCCTGCTGCTGCTGCTACTCTTCTGCTGCTGCTGCTGCTGCTGCTGCTGCTACTGCTGCTGCTGCTGCTGCTGCTGCTACTACTACTACTACTACTACTACTACGACTGCTGCTGCATACTACAGACTGTGTACTACATACTACCTACTGCGTATCATGTACTTCGCTTCATGTACTACTAGCAGTGATACTGCTTCTACTATTTCGATCAGCACTGCTAGTAGTCATTGTGCCGGTACTTCTGTACTTCTACTAATATTAGTGCGAACACCAATACTAATGCTAGCAGTTTCCTCACAATGTTTTGATTCATGCAACTCTCATCATCATTACCGCTTGTAGTCACCTATATCACAGCCAAGCCACCTCCTGCCCCTCGTGAAGCCACATCTCTGCGGCCCCACCGCCTTGCCGGATCTCGAGAATGCCGTCCTCCGCACCCGCCTCGTCGGGCGACTGCCTCTGCCTCACGGCCACAGGGTCGGAAATTGTCGGGCTCAGGGTTTAAGGAATTAGGCAACAGAGGTTGCGCTTCAGTGTTTACGGCTCAGATTAAGGGGTTAAGAGCTGACCTCTTTGCATAATGCACGGCCTGATGAGGACTGGAGTTCCTTTCAAAGTATTGCAGCCGATGTAGGTGTTGGTCTCAATGCCAGTTTTGAAATCCTTCGTTGTCCAAACCCAGGTCCCAGAAGGCAGTTGCACCGCGTCCTCGTACAGGATGGCAGAACCTTGAACAAACTCATCATACTGGTTCCAGCCCTCGACAGCAACAAGTATGTCACTGAAGCAATGCTTCGGATCTCGCAGAGCGTGCCGCATTTTCTGGATGGTAGCACCTGGGATCTTGGCAAAACTGCACTTTCGCGGGGCTGGGGAAGTACGTAGACGTAGACTGCCACATGCTGGCAGGGCATCCCAGCAAGCAGACTTCTACCACTACCACCACTACCACTACCACTGCCACTAGTGCCACTACTTCAACAGCCACCACCATCATGATCACCGCCACCGCTACCGCCAGTTCCGCTGCTAGCTCACTGCAGCAGTACCACCATTGCCGCTGCTGGGCGGCTACCAATGCTACACCCACCGATGCTTCTATGACCAAGGATAAACACCGACCTGTCGTTGGCCGCTTCTTACCGACAGTTTATTTACACCAGCAACCACTTACTACGGCAACGCCACTGCTGCTGCAGCTGGGCACAAGCGCAGCAAGACTTATAGGAAGAAGCAGCATGCGAATGTTAAACCAGCACAAGTCCAGATGCTACTGCAAGTCTTTTACGAGCCAGTGTGCATGCACTTGTACTACTACCTAATATAGGGGCCTTCATAATTAGAGTACGGTCTTGGGCTCCTTTACAGTAGAACTAGAATAAGGAATGCTAAGGAATGATGTTGGTAAATATTTAGGCTTCTATATGCTGTAGATCTGACACTATGGCCGCACTGCCCACTTTAGAGCTACAAGTGGCTTTTAGGGTTTAGGGTCTAGGGGAGAGACACCAAATGCCAGTTCAAAACATTGTAGAAGAACGAGTGAAAGAATCAAAACCAAATTCTTTAAGTCTTCACTTCTAAATCGCTAAACACCTACACCCCGAACCACGTAACCCTTAAGGATGTCCCCAAAACAAAAACCACAAGACCAACCAAAAGACAGCTGCTCCTTCGTCCGGCCGCCTATTTCCGGATCTGAGGTTGTTGTGGTGGTAGTCGGAATGTTGTACGGCACTAGCCCAAGATCTGAAACCTTCGGGGCTTTTGTACCCCTAAGTAGTTCCATTTTATGGTGTATATTTAGAATCCTATAAGGTAATCCCAAAAAGGAACTACTTAGGGGCCTATGGGTATACCCTAAAAGCACGAACTTTCTAAGTCTGCAGACTGGAGCTCAGGGCCGAGACTTCAGGGTTGCTGCAGCGGCGTTGAGTTTTGTCAGGGTCCTAAAAAAAGTTTCCATCCGGACTCTAGGAGAGTGGCCCCAGGTTTAAAGCTTTGTAAAGACTCTAAACCCTAAACCGTAAGGCCTTAAAGGGCCAACATATGTTTTGAAAATAGAGCCTTTACATGGGGTTCACAGGTCTTCCGTAGAGCCGGCGACTCCCGAGGCTGCTATGTATCACCATGTGCTGAAGGTCACCCCTAAACCCTAAACCCCAAACCCTAAACCCTAAACCCCAAACCCTAAACCCCAACTCCTTCAAGGTTTGTGACGATCGCTCTCAGACACTCCCCCGGCCAGAGGCCTCATCCTATGCAAAGCCCTGGCATCCTCCTTGGGGGTTTCAGCTTCGGGTCTGAATCATTGGGCTCGAGTCTTGGGGCACCCTATGCTCTTTTGCTCATAACTTTCTAGGGACCGAAAGGGCACACTAACACCCTGATAAAACCCTATGAAGTGCTCGTGAAACTGCCGATGCTAGGCCGAAAACCCAAAGACTAAACCCGAAAATCTAAAGCCGAAAGCCTGAACCCTGAACCCCGCAGCATCCGTGCCTTGATGTGGTAGGCAGCGGGCGGAGATGGTCCAGATGCAGAGATCTGGTGGTGCGCGCGCGTTGCTGCCGCCAGGCGCGCCAGATGGAGCCACAGCAGGAGCGCAAGGAGCTGTTTCCATCCGGAAGGTGCTGCCTGCGCCATGGAGGCACCAGGACAAATGGAAAGACACTCGGATTTCTCACCACAACGACATCTTGAGCCAAATCCAGCTGAAACTTTGACACTGGCAGGTCGAAGTTCAGCTTCAGCTGCGCCACCAATGAGTATGAAGCCCGAAGATGGCTTTAGCAATCGTTAGGCTTACCGATAGGAATACTATGAACCCCTATCGCAAACACCTCCAGTATTCCCTACTACTCTCAGCAGCACGAATGATATAGGCGGAACAACTAGTATACACAGTATCCCCTTACAGTCCCTACACAAAAACCAGTAAGGGCCCAGAGCTAAAACCCCGGCCGAAACATGGGAACCCTTATCAGTGCTCTGCAAAGGAACCCTGGAAGTCTTAAAGGAACCTTTTTTGTAACTAGTCAAGTCTCCACATGAGTGGTTCTCGATACTTAGGGTCCCTTTTAGAAGTCCTTTTTATAAGGGTGCCGTACTATATTGGGGACCTACAAAGGGACCTTCATTTAGAGAACTACCCCCACATTAGCATTCTCTTTCCTGTGTTGAATGGCTTGGGACTGCCTCTGGGCCTAATTAAAGCGAGTACCAGTAGGGTTTAGGGTTTAGGGCTTCGGGTTTGGGAGGGTTTCGGGTTTAGGGTAGGTTCCCACGAGAGAGCAGCCGATCGAACAGTTCAGGAAGATTCCTACATACAAAACCTTTGCAAGAAGCCATCCTTAAGTAAAACCTTTCCAAAAAAAAGCAAGGAACGAGCTCTTTTAGCAGGCCATGGGATCTTGCTACTTCATGGCCTTGTCCAAGTAGTTCCTGCCATAAAACCCTGATCCCTAAACCCTAAACCCTAAATCTCAAGTCCAAAAACCTTAACTTAACCCTAAACCCTAAACCCGAAACCTCAAGTCCAAAACCTAAACCCTACACCCTATAGACCCTAAACCGTACTTATCCGGCCTGATAAAGGCCCTGCCACATCGACCCTGGGCCATTTTCCCCCGCGAGCAAGCACAAGGCTTGGAGAGCCCCAAATCCCCGTCTTCCCGGAGAGCCCAGTATTCTGGGTTCTTAGATTTGTGTTAGGGGTTACCATAGTAAAGAAACCATATTATTTACAGTATTTACTATAGATCCCCGGTATGGTAACTGAAATCAAATCCCCTACCAGGAAGCCAGTGTTTCACAGGCTTCTACATCGTCTTAGAAACCCTAAACCCTAAACTCTGAACCCTAAACCCTGTAGCATTTCGTAAGATTTGGAAAGGGCGGGTGCTAGTGGGCTACAAGAGGAGAGTCTGAGTAACTATGGATCTGTCTCCCGTATCGGTCAAGGCTTAGTGTTTGGGTTTAGAGGTTTAGGGTTTAGTGTTCAGGGGTTTGGGGGTGTAGGCTTTACAGTTTCAGGTCGTCGCCTTGGCGCATAGGAGTTAAAGCTTAGGTTGTGGGGTCTTGGGAAAGGAAGACTCTCTGATGGCAGAATACGGTATGCTGACTTCCCATGACAAACCCTAAACCCTAAACCCCAAACCCTGAACCGCTCAGGTGTGCGGTAGGGCTGCGGAGTTTGAAGTTTGGAGTTGAGATGCTTGCAACAGTAGGGATCCAAGCTTGTGTGCGAAACTTGCTGAAATCTAAATTACTAATCACTAATCCTAAACTTTGAACCCTAAACCCTGAACCCTAAACTTTGAAACGGAAACCCTAAACCCTGAACTTTGAACCCTAAATTTTCGCTTCATGAAGTGATCTTGGTCTCTCCAGGCTCGTGTTCCACTCCCCATGGAACGCAGCCCTTTCGCAAGGCATTACTGTTAAGGATTGGAGTTCAAGAGTTTTTAGGGTTTAGTGTAGGGTTTAGGCGGTTTAGGGCTGTCGATGGTTTCTCTGACTCAAAAATCAAATTTTCCGGAGTAGCAGTCATCCCGACAAGCAAACTTTGCTTGAATGTGAATTTCTGATTTCATACAGAACCTCGAGCCCTAAAGACTAGACCCCGATCTCTGACGATTGAAAGTGACATCACACGTCAGCTGTTTCATCCGCATCGATACTCACGCACGACCTGGCAGCAAGGCTCCGGACATGGCTTGCCGACATTAGTCTGTACTTCTTACTGACATAGCGTTGCTAAGGCTACGGCTACTACTACTGCTACTGCTACTCCTCCTCTCCTGCTACTATTACTACTACTACTACTACTACTACTACTTCTACTTCTACTTCTACTTCTACGACGACGACTACTACTACTACTTTAACCACTAACTATCTTGACTACTAACACTAACTACTACCTACGAACTACTAAATGGAACTACTACTACCTGCTGCTGCTACTACAACTACTACTACCACCACCACCACCACCACAACCACTACTACGACCACTACTACCACCAATACCACTACGACCACTACAACCACTACTACCACTACTACCACTCCTACCACTACTACCACTACACCACCACTACTCGAACAGACGGACTAGGAAACAAGTCTGTCAGCCTGAACCATCCTGCACCCCGCACTTCAAAACAAAATCCTGGAAAAACCTACCGGTTTAAGGTTTTGTGTAACGAAAATCATAATAAGGAGACCTAAATAGGAAGGTTTCTCAGGGCTCAGGTACACCCTAAACCCCCTGCCCCACCAAACCCCAAATCCCCCACCCGACCATCCTCGGGGTACTGGACGTGCGATTCAAGGATTCGGAGAGCGTCAGCTGCTTCCCCGTCACTCCGGACCTGGCTTTGGGGTTATATCGGGTCTCTATAGGCTTTCAGGGTTTAGGGTTTAGGGGTTTTGCGGTAGAGGGTCTAGGGGGTGTATATAGGGTTTATATAAGATTTCAGGGTTCAGGGGTTTAGGATTTAAGGTGGTATATAAGGATTTCAAGACCTGGCTCCGGGCTGCGTATAGGATCCACAAAGGATTCATGGACCTGGTTGTGGGGTTTGGGGTTGTACAGGTGGGACTTAGGATTAGGGGGACCCTTGGGAAAATAGACCCTCTCAATAAGGTCCCTTTTGAGAGAGCCAGAAGTAGAGTTAAGAAGGGTTCCGTTTTAAGGGGTCTCCCGAATACTCCCGAGGAACAAGGCTGCTAGCCGGAAGCTTGGAGGGTCACGAGCTTTGGGGTTCCTTGGAAATGAAGTGTGGGCTTTGAGGTTCTTGGGCTAGAGTTTTGCTTGCTGGGGGATAAATATGGTCCATAGGGGCTTGTATAGGGTTGATGTAGGGCTTAGATGAGGTCTAAGGCATGGGATGGGGAAGACCCGGAATTTGGTTTGGAACCTCTTCGGCTTTCGGGGCGCTATATAAGAAGTCTTCGGGCCTTAGAGCGCTAACTAGGCTGTTGGGGGATGCGGGGGGTCTCAAGGTGTTAGGCTCAGGGCGCTGCGAAGTTGCAGGGTTTAGCGGGGTTCAGGGCATCAGATCTGGGTCGGTCACCGGATCTGGAAACGCTGAGCCATGCACCCTAACAAGGCCTTTGAATCGAAAGCCGAGCCCGAAACCTTAGACCCCAAACCCGACACCCTCAACGTTAAACCCTAAACCCTGAACACTCAACAACACTAAACCCTAAACCCTAAAGCCCCCTAAACCCTAAACCCTGAACACTCAACGAACCCTCGCCTGAACGCCAGGCGCCGAGTGCCCAAAGTCGAAGTCCCAGCCGGCGCCGGCCTTCCGGAGCCGGGCTAAAGCCCTGAACCCTGAACTTAGCCCCTCAATGTTTAGGGTTTAGGGTTTAGCGCTTAGGGTTTAGGGGTTTAGGGCTTAGGGGTTCAGCATTTTAGGGGTTTAGGGGTTTAGGGGTTTAGTTAGGGTTTAGGGGTTTAGGGCTTAGGGGTTCAGGAGTTTAGGGGTTTAGGGGCCGCAAACCCTACACTCGTATCTAAGGCGCTGTTCTAAGAGCGACGTCCTTTTTCGGGATCCAAAAGGAAGCAGAGGGCTTGGTTCCCATCTTCTCCGGGCCTAGGACTGGAGGTAGGGGCTTCAGGCGGGACATCGACGTGAATGCTTTAGGCCTTGACATGTAGGGCTTGGGGTTTGGAGTTTAGAGTTTAGGGTTTAGGGTTTAGGGTTTACAGTTTAGGATTTAGGGTTTACAGTTTCGGGTTTAGGGTTTGCAGTTCTAGGCCTTGGGGGATGCCAGCGGCTCATATTTGCAGCACTCATGCTCGAGCATCTTGAGCCCTGGCGACCCTACGAATCAACCTCGACCCAATGCCCTAAACTCTTTTTTTTGTTTAGGGCCTTTTTCGTCGCTTGCGCTCCAAAGCCCGGTTGGGCAGGCGGTTAAGAAAACAAACTCTACTGCCCTAAACTCTAAACCATAAACCGTGGCACACTAATCACCTTAATCCAAAGCAGGAGGGACTTCACGACACCAGCTCAAACAGGTCAGTTGCACCGCGAGATGGATGGCTCCTCTCCCAGGGTGTTGGGGCTTTGGGTTAGGATTTAGGTTGAGAGCCTCGGGCCAATCGCGACTTTGAAGTCCTATGCATCCGGAATCGTAAACTACTTAAGCACAGGGTGCATGCTGAAAAGTCCTCAACCTCCAAACCCGCAACCCCAAGCCCCGAAACGTCCGTCCTCAAACCACAAACTCAAACCGCTACGGCACAGGGAAGGTGCACTGGCTCCTTCTTGCCTGGGCGCACGGGGCCGTTGGACACCTGTCAGAGATCTAATGTAGGGCCCTAAGTTAAATGATTACCAATACTGTATACTATTTTGGGGGATCCTCATTATAAGTATGGTATACCGGGCCACAAAACCCCGATCTAGTTACTTAGGCCCCTTTTTTTAAGGCAACATGTTTTCTGGAAGAATTGCCGGGTCAGTCGAGTTTCGGGCTTCGGCTGCCTTCAGGGTATAAGCTCCCCCAAACCCTAAACCGTAATCCTAAACCCTCAACCCTAACCCCAGATTAACAGAAACTACAGGTGGGGAGTGTAGGGTATATAGGGTTTCTATAAGGCTTCTATAAGGTACATAGACCTT